GGAGATATACACAGATCACAGCCGTCTAGTTGTCCCTGGATCTTAAGGAGATTTCAGGAGCAAGACAGGAAAGATGCCGGCCTTGTGCCATCAACAGCCCTGCTCTGACATGCAGGAAGTCACCTTTACTCTTTGGGGCCATGTGAGTTCTGTCCATCTTCTGGCTCTGCCGGGAACAGAAGAGGAGGAGAGGAATTTGGTCTCAAGTTAGAAGCCTTTAGTTTAAGTAGATGAAAAAAATTTTTGCAAAGCATGAAGCAACAAGGAAAGTATTGAAGAAATATAAGATCTGAGTGGAGAAGACAAAAACTATCTTCTAAGGTTGGTGCCGTTTCTGTCCCAGGCACAACAACCTAATGGACAAATAGAAAAATAAACAGGGCTGGGGATGGTGGCTCACACCTGTAGTCCCAGCACTTTGGGAGGCCAAGGTGGGAGGGTCCCTTGAGCCCAGGAGTTCGAGACCAGCTTGGGCAACATGGCAAAACCCTGTCTCTACTACCCCCAACCCCCGCAAAAAAAAAAAAAAAAAAAAAAAAAAAAAAAAAAACTCTCACAAACAAAAATAAGCTGGGCATGGTGATACATGCCTGTAGTCCCAGCTACTCGTGAGGCTGAGGTGGGAAGACCACTTGAGCCCAGGAGGCAGAGGTTGCAATGAGCCATGATGGCACTGCTGCACTACAGCCAGGGGGACAGAGCTAGACCCTGTCTCAGAAAGGGAGGAAAAATAACAAACAGGAAAGTGCTTTTTGCTCATTTTCAGAATGCTTGATTTTGAAGTGTTGCACTGAGCTCGACTTCTCGTGGTGAGAGTTTTTCCTTTCTACCAGATCACATATTCCTCTGATTTCAGCTGAGCCGATGTTTTAGCCTGTAAGCCCATAGTCTCTATTTCATGGCCTCACAGATGAGAAATTGTTCATTAAGTTTTGATCATGTGCAGTGTACAAATTCTCTCTTAGACTTGGATTCCCTCATCTGATCTTCCTGTCTGTGTCTGAGCTAGGGAATTAGAAAATGATGCTGAGACTGTTATTCTTTTTCTTTCTGTTTTTGAGACTGTTATTCTTTACTGGGGAGTTGGGTCTGCTCTGTCTCTTCAGCAGGGCCAGGAATCCTAAATCCATGCCAGGCTTCTTTCCTCCTCCCTTAGGCCCCCAGTCCCTATCCTCACCTCCACCCCCAAGGCTGAAGCACAGACCAGACCATCCAGGACTGTGAATTGAAAAGCATCTTCTGGCTAGTGACATCTGTTTCCAAAAATCCAGCAAGTCTATTTAGGTTTAATCAGACAGGTCACGGTAGGTGTTTCCTCCTGGGACCACGAGATTTTTCTCCTATGGCACTTGGGCGTGACGCCTTCCAGTCTATTAGAGCTCCTCCCTGTCTCTGATTTCTTGATAGTGTCAGTCGCTGCCTCTCAGCCAGTGACTGGCCAGGTTAGAGATTCCTGCCTCTCGGCCAGTGACTGGTCAGGTTAGAGATTCCTGCCTCTCGGCCAGTGACTGGTCAGGTTAGAGATTCCTGCCTCTCGGCCAGTGACTGGCCAGGTTAGAGATTCCTGCCTCTCGGCCAGTGACTGGCCAGGTTAGAGATTCCTGCCTCTCGGCCAGTGACTGGTCAGGTTAGTGATTCCTGCCTCTCGGCCAGTGACTGGCTGAGTTAGTGATTCCTCTATTTGTAGCACAGACTCCACCTAGCTGCCCACCTCCTGGAGATCCCACATTCACCATAGCTGACATTCCAAATTTAGCTCCATAACTTTCCTCTATTCTGGCTTATTCTCCGCTCCAGAGCTCTCCTGGTTAATGATGCCGTTATCGGCCCTCTTCTCCTTACAAATTGCTAATGCTGTCATTAGGCCATTTTTATTTCTCCCCTAAGTTTATGCAGCAGCCTCCTAGCTGCTCTCCCATCTCATCACATACTTCTTCACTCCTTTCTCCACACCGTTGACAAAACAACTTTTTCTTAAAACATGAATCTTGCATAATATTCCCTGATTAAAGGCTTTCTTGATGCTCTGTTGTTAACCTTTTTCCTGTATTAAGGGGTCTGGGCTCTATCTACCATTGCACTCATGTCTCTCCTCTTCTCCCGCATTCCACGTACCAGCCTAGCTGAACCACAGGACCCGCAAGATGCCAAGCTGCCGTTTAGATTTCTGTGCCTTTGCATATGCTGTTTTCTTTGCCTGACATGCTCCTCCGCACCGGCATCCTCCACGCTGGCCTGGAAACTCCTACTCACTTTCCGCCTCCTTGGAGAGTCTTTTCTTTTCTCACCCTCCCAGGCTGAATTTGTCACGCTCTTTTGTTGCATTCCAGACCTCTGGTTACAGCAGTCATCACGCAGCACTCTGATGGGTTGTTTCCTGGTGGATCTCCCATTTAGGCCATGAGCTCCCAAGGGCAGAAATTGTGTTGGGTGAGAAGGTGCCCAGAGGTAAGACTAGGGCGGTGTTTCTCCACCTCTGTGGCCCTGGGATCCCTTTACACTCTTAAAAACTGTTGGGAACCTCAAAGGGCATATGGTTTATTATTTGGGTAAATATCTGTTGCTATTTCCCACTGAAATGTAAACTGGATAATTTTACAATCATTTACTCCTTCAAAATCAATGATAATGAATTTATTAAATACTATTATAAAATAATATATAAATAACTGTACAGAATAAAAAATTTTAAGACGAGTGGCACTGTCTTAGATTTTCAGAAATTTCTTTATGTCTGGCTTATGAAAGGAAGACAACAAGATTCTCATATCTGCTCCTTTAGTCAGTCTGGTTCATTGTGTTGTTTAATGTCTGCGAAGACAATACATTCTAATTGCAGATATTTTTCTAGATCAAAACTTGACAAGTGGTACTAGTTGTAGTAACGTGAAACCTAAAACCTGAGAGATGAACTTTTCTTACTGCTACCTTAAAAGTGCTGGTCTCAGAGATCGAGACCATCCTGGTCAACATGGTGAAACCCCGTCTCTACTAAAAATACAAAAATTAGCTGGGCATGGTGGCGCACGCCTGTAATCCCAGCTACTTGGGAGGCTGAGGCAGGAGAATTGCCTGAACCCAGGAGGCGGAGGTTGCAGTGAGCTGAGATCGTGCCATTGCACTCCAGCCTGGGTAACAGGAGCGAAACTCCGTCTCAAGAAAAAAAAAAAAAACTGCTGGTCTCTTGCGCCTCAATTGGCACTTTTGCCCATGAATGTTTTTCCTTACCAGGCGTTGGTCACTTGGAAAATATGAGACCACTGAGTTACGCAGATCTTCTGACAGATGGTACATTCTGTCATACAATAAGGAAAGGTAACAGAAATCTTTATTAGGAAGCCATCAAAGTCATGGTGGTAGATACAAGTTTTCCCAAGTTCTGATTTTCACTTGAAAACTCAAATTTTATCATTGAAGACAAATACTGTCAGTGTTTTTCCTCAAAGGGACAGGCACATTTTGCTCATTTTCAAGAAAATGGCTTCTTAAATACCTAAGTCTGAGTGACAACATTATGTCAGTTGCCCTTTTTCAGTAAAAGTGGTGTTCTGTGAAGCAGATGACTAGTTCAACTTGCAACTCAGTGTCACGGGTGCTTTTCCTGGAGACAAACATCATACTTCAGTAGGTAATGGAAACATGTACTTGCCTTTTCATAAAAGATGTTTTAAAGATACTTACTGAGGATCAAGATTCACCAAATTAATAGTTCCTGCTTCATCCAGGGCATACCAAAGTGAAACTGACATTTATTTTCCTTCAAGTGCTCAGAGGGATGAATGCAGTAACCACCAGTATCATTTGGTGCCACTGGCTGCCTTGATCTGTGCCAAGTTGCCAGCTGTTTTGCCCCCTCCCATGGCCTTTGCACCATCAGCATAAGTGTTAATCCCATAAAGAAGGCGAGAAATGTCTTAGTAGTATTTATTAAACCTGTTTTATTTTGTAATACAGAGTCTTGCTCTATTACCAGGCCGCAGTGCAGTGGCACTATCAGGCTCACTGCATCCTCCAGTGCCTGGACTCAAGGGATCCTCCCCTTACCTCAGCCTCACAAGTAGCTGGGACCATCCCCAGCCTATTTATTATTTTTATTTTTTTGAGACAGGATCTCTCTTTGTTGCCTAGGCTTGTCTTGAACTCTTGTCCTTAGGCAATCCTCCCACCTCAGCCTCCCAAAGCACTGAGATTACAGGCATGAACCACAGCTTCCAGCCAAGAAATGTCTTAATATTTTTATAAAATACTTTTGACCCCATAAAACCTCTGGAAGGATCCTGCAGACCCCTAGGAGTCCATAGACCACACTTTGGGGGCCATGGGACTGACTAGAGAGTGAAGCAGAGGCTCCTTATACCAGGTTGCAGACTTCATGCTGTGTTGGGAAGGCTGTGAGGGGAGGAGCACTGTGGTCTGATTTATATCCTAGAGTGACCACAGTGGCAAGACAGTGGAGCATCTTTTGGGGAGTTGGGAAATTGGAACTGGACATCATTGCTGAAAAATAGCAATTTTCTTTAAGTTGCCATATGGATATAGGATGATTATATAAACCCCAAATTTGTAAACCCTTCGGTATGGTATTGTCATTCAAAATCACATTCAATTGCATGAAACTAGGTTGAAGTATTTTCTGATATTATTTCAGAGTAGTATTATTTCTCTTCTGTGAATGAATTTGGGTGTGCGTATACATGCATCAGTGGACTTAAAGCTTGTATATGCGTGTATCGTTGGCTGATGGGCATCCTGGGCAATTCCTTTCTGGCCCAAATTGTCTTTGTGTTTTGTCATCAGAAGTGCGTTCCTTAGACTACGCATTATCCTGGATCATATGTAAAAGACGTTTGTTTACTCTGAAGACCTCCCACTCAGTGGAAGTGTGGGAGACATGTCCCGAGTTAAAAGGTCTAGGTCAGTGTAATATTCAGAAGCAATTGCAAATCATTCTAACCAATCCAGCAGTGCTTACTTAGGACTCTGTTCAAGAGCCTTCTTACCTCTTTGTTGATCTCTTTAAATACTGAACAAAAGACAATGAATCTTCCAACTCAGCCGATTCCATTGTGATTGATCTGAGCCAATTTTTTGAGGTAATTGATGATATTGCCTTAGTTGAGTCTGTTAGTGCAAATAATTATTAATCAATATGCTCTCAGCTCTTAGTTCAGGAGATACTTCTAACACATGATTTATGCTGAACATTTCAATTGAGCTACCTTTACAAGAGGAAAATCAATTGGCGAGTGTTCTAAAGCACTTTAATTATCTGCAGCCCCATAGTCCTCCGCAGCCATATTTACCCAGACAGCTAGTTGTCCCATCCTAGCTAGGGTCACAGGAAGTTTTTCATCACCATGATAGAGATAATATATCGTGCATCTGAGATTGACTACGTTGGTTTAAAGTAATTTCGTGGAATACCTTAAAATCAAAGCATTGCAGCTTTCCTTTGGAGAGCGTAATTAACATTGCCCCAGAAGGAGAAGGAACATGTTACTGATCTCCATTCAGTTGGAAAACAGTTTGCCAGTGTGGTTAGTGAATGTCATGTAAGTCGATTTAGCCATAAAACATGAGGAGATCTGAATCGCAGAGAGGAAGTTAAGGTGTAAGGCATTTTAGGGGCTAAATTTATATCACTGCCCTAAACTGTTGTTAAGAAGCTTTGTGACTTCCTTGCACCACGGCTTTCTAGCATGGAATTTGTTGTTTTGCCCTTTTAGACAAAGTCTTGATAAATATTGTGGTTTGATTTCTCCCCCCTGTGAGAGGAGATGCAGAAGAAATTAATCACCACTAGGAATGAGCCTGCCTTTGTTCAAAGTAGAGCTTCCAAGCATCTGTTTTTGTTGTACTTGTGGTGGGTACAGGAATGTGTGGGCTTTGGCCTGGGACTTTTAGACATGATTATAACAGATGGAAATTTTAAATGGCAGTTCCCTCCATTGTCATGGTGGAGCCCCTCCAATAGCACTGAGATGCTCTGTTGCACTTCTTGCCCAGGACTCTGTCCCTTACTGCTATGAAAGCACCTCTAAATGGTAGAATGTGAAGGCATTTGGCAGCCTTCAAGGGCAGTTCTTTAGCGTCTCCACTCCCTATCCCCATGCACTCCTAAGACCCTCAAAACTTGGACCCGAGGCTTCACGTAGCAATAAACTGAAACACCATTCATTGTTCACAGCTGGGCCAATGTTTGGTCTCCAGAAGGTAATGCTGTTAAGCGCTGAATTGAGTTCATACTATCAATTAAACAGTGGGAGAGAGGAAAGGTAGGTTTTGACTTGGGGTTTTTCAGGAGCTAATTCAGTAGGCATTTTTGGAATGCCTGGCTTGGAGCTAGCTCTACGGGAAGACTGAGAAAATGAAGCCCGGCTTTGGCTCTTAGGAAGTCACAGTCCTGTTTGCAAGGGTTGGGGTGGAGAGGGGAGACCTCAGCCATTAAGAATACAGACAGGGGAGAGGGGCTGACACCAGAAGGTCTGTGGGCAGAGACAGATGGTTGAGTCCTTTGTGCCAGGGAAGAGGAGGGAGGGGCTGACGGGTCACAGGATGGCATCTTCCATGGCCCTGTGAGGTTGCCACTGCTTATGTCCTCCTCCTCTGGTTACCCAGTTGTTCCCCTTGTTCTTCTCTGGGAACAGTAGCTCACTCTGGGCTCATCAGAGGGAAACCAAGAAACTGAGATGTAAAGTCTGTGACTGGTTGTGGTCCTGGTGATGGCTTCTTCCAGAACAGCTCTCTCAGTCCAACAGTGAGGTGACATTGAGGGTCAGAACCATTAGGGGCAGTGTTCCAGCCTCACCTGAAAATCCCAGTGTTTGGGAATCTGATTGGGGAGCATCCTGGAGGCAGGCCGGGCTTTGTTTTTTTAAGAGGGTCTCATTCTGTCACCTAGGCTGCAGTGCAGGGGTACAGTCATAGCTCACTACAGGCTTGAATTCCTGGGCCCAAGCCATCTCTCCACCTCTGCCTTCCAAAGTGCTGGGATTACAGGCATGAGCCACTGCACCCGGCCTTAGGACTGAGTTTGGAGGAAGTTATGTCCTGGTGGCCTGAACTTTCCTTTTCTTGCTGCTCTTTGTTGCGGATGCCTCCCCCCGCTCATTGTTTGGGTTACAGGGTACGAGAGAGAACCTTCTCCAAGTCCTGACTGCTCCCTGGGCCCAAATTTAGGCTGAGCACCTTAACTGGCCCTGCCATCTTAGACGTACCGCTCAATTCCTCAGAAGCAAAGGTTTCCGCTCTGTAAGATGAAGATGATGTGTAACAACGACTGGAGTTGTGATAATTAAAGGAGGTAAATTTTAAAGCACTTTTTAAACTGTAAAACTCTGTAATATAATGTGTAATATGGATATTCATATGCAAATATATATAATATGATAGGTGTCACTTTTTTCAGTTTTATTATTTTACCTGGCTGCCTGCTCAGGGTCCTGTGATGCTCTCTGTAACTGCTGTAGTTCAGAGACGAAGCGTTGATTACGAGCTGTGGGCACTGCCTGCCCTGGCCTCTTTCTACCAGAGTGACTTAGATGACTTGGAGCTAAAACATGAGAGGCAAAAAATATCATAAAGACAAATGCCATGTCTGTGTTGCATATAATAATTCAATAAATATCCAGTAACTGTTGAGATATGAGCCCACGAATAGATAAAAGAAAAATGGAGTAAATGAAGGAATTATTTTAAAAGATTTCAGTCATTTCCTTTTGTCTTTTTCTGTTTTTAATATACATGAAGACTAATTTAAACCCTTTTCTCTTTCTAAGTAAGTTTGGAGATCTATAGGACAAATTGGCTCCTAACATCTAATACTAGTGACGGGATATGAAAGACAGCATTCTTTCGGACAAAGGAATGCAATCCTCGAAGACCAATAAAAGTTGGCAAAGAAATTTGCAGATCAGGACCCAGGACAATGCTTACATAACCTCTCAACTGTTTTTCCAGGTTTGAAGTGCAAATAACAGAGATAAAGACAGAAATTACACATGTAAACCTGATATATTAATAGCTCATCCCGTCTACATAAGAAAATAAACCAGGGGTCTAGGCCCTAAAAGTGATAGCTGTGGTGTTAGATTTCTGGGCCTCCTTTATTTCAGGGGATGGGGCTCTGACAGGTGAAACACAGCATTTGTTTAAACAGAATAGAGAAAGTCTGCAAAACATTCAAGGGCAGGAAGTAGCAATAAATACTTCTCTGTGCAACTGGAGCAGCACAGAGCTTGGGGCGAGCAGAATGTCATCACTCAAAGTGGAATTTGGCCAGGGCCCCCCAGGGTCCCACCAAGGGACACAGTGAACTTTCTAAAAGTCAAGACCTCTGTCTTATCTCCTCCAAAAGATGAGAAAGTGAGATGTGAAGTTTCTTTCTGGGGATGGGATGTGTTTTTCATGGTAGGTTCTGATCTCTTTTGCAGGCTTTGAACACAAGAACCAAGGGCACAAAAATAGCTCCTTGAGCGGGGGAAAAGCCCGAAAGGCCTGGAACACAGGCTGATGTGCAGGCATTGGTGAGCTGGGATTGTAAATCCACAATCCCTTGAACAGAGCAAGACCTAGTTAAAGAGACTTTGGGTTTCTTATAAGGCATGAATAAGTACTCTGGGCAGTCTGCCCCATTGGAAAACAGAATAATGCTAATAATTTGCATTTATGTAATACCTCCCCCTGGCTTGTGGATCTACAAGCACTTTGCAAACATTAATTAATTCTCTAAACCCCCTATGAGCCAGGGGGTGCCATCAGTAACTAATCATGAAGGAGGGCCAGTGATTCTTGACAGAGTGGATATAAGTTGGAGAACACTGTGAGCTCGGGAGCTCAGGAAGTTGAGTGGAATTTTTATGAGAAAGAACAACCAAGGTAGAATTTTGATCAGACTATGTGGGAAATCAACCTGGATGTTATGGCCATGGCTGAAGGCTATCAACTAACAATTCAGTTTCTCTCCTGTTGTTCGCCTCTTCATTTTCAAAGCTCTGATTATTCTTGGTCAGAAACCTCAGAGTGAAGGTCTGGACTCAGTTCAACCATTCCCGGTATAAAAGGATGTGCAGACTGAGCACAGTGGCTCACACCTGTAATCCTAGCACTTTGGGAGGCTGAGGCAGGTGGATTGCTTGAGCCTAGGAGTTCAATACCAGCTTGGGTAACATAGAAGAAACCCTGTCTCTACAACCAGCCATGGTGGCGCACAGCTATAGTCCCAGCTACCCAGGAGGCTGGAGTTGGAGTGATATGGCTCCACTGACTGGAGGAACGCCAGGGTTCTTGGTTTCAAGCTGATAGGATTAACGACTTGGACATACGTGGAGTGGTTTTAAGGAGCGAAAAGTTTAATAGGCAAGAAAGAAAGAAGAGAACAGCTCCCCCATACAGAGACAAATGAGGGAGGCTTGGAAGAAAGAGAAACCCAGTGCGTGCCAGAAAAGAGGTTTCTTATATTGGGATGCTGAAGAAGGTGGTGTCTGGTTTGAATAAAGCCCAGGGGAATGGTTTGACCAGGTGTGTTATTTACATAGCCCACAAAAAACCTAGCCCTCCCACCTTAGACTTTTAATATGCAAATGCAGAGCACCATGCTGTTTGGAACACATGGTGTTATCTGGAGGTGGCCATGACGCTTGGTACACCTGGTGAGGAGAAGAGGGCGGGAATCTCCAAGTTGGCCATGTTGGGTGGACCTAGTTTACTCACCAGTTTTTGCACATTAAAGCTGGCCGGCCTGGCTCTTCAAGCCACCTTTGGGTTAGAAAAGAAATGGTTTGGACGTTGCTTTTATTAAAAGAAAAAGCCATACTGAGAGGTCCTTTTACCTTCTCTATCTGCCTAAACAATTATTTTTTAATAACTAGGAGGATCACCTCAGCCCAGGGAGGTGGAGGCTGTGGTGAACTGTCATCACACCAGTGCACTCCAGCCTGGATGACAGAGCAAGACCCTGTATCAAAAAGAGATGCAGCAGCTGGACCATACTGGAAATCAGCATTTCTGTTGCTGTTTTAATAGTCAGTTCAGAGATTCATTCATGCGTCGACTTATTCGCTCAGTCACTACTTTATTTGACAGATACTACCTTTTGAGTTCTTGCTCCCTGTTAGACATTGGGGTTATCTCCAAAGGCTTACCTGCCCAGTGATACTTTCTTTATTCTCTGTCATGTATTTTTGTTTCCCCAGTCTGCTCAACTCACATAACGTTAGGATTATTGAAATGGTTTTGCAATGTTGATGTAATTTATGAGTAAACATTGCTGTATATATTTGAATTTCTGGTGAGAAAGGCACTATGCACGAGGAAAGTAATGACCTGGCATAAGAGAACCCATTTATACCAATAGCTACATCTCACTCAGTCGGGCCTGTTAGATAAAAGGACTGTCGATATTCATGACTTTTTTCTTTTTTAAAGAAATGTAGTTTGAAGCTAAACCAACAAAGTGCCACTTATTGGTGGTACTGAAGGAGTTTACATTTGCTGAATAGATAAGATTTGCTCGTGATCTTTGGCTGGTGTCTCATTGGAACAGATAGGTTAGTTATTCTTCAGGTCCTCAAAAGTTGGATATAGCAGATGTTTTCCTAAATCGATTCCCATTGTTTTAGATGTCCCAAAATTTGAAGTAATTTGCATAATAACCCAGTATAAATTAGTACAAAAGCCAGCTTCACTCTAGCTCTTTCTGAGTGGTAGGAATAATGGTGTATGAATCTTGAGATGTTTCTATGTTCACACACATACATCTCAATGTAAGTCAGATGAAATGGTTCATTTTTTGTTAAATCATTTTTATGTTACTTTTAAGTTAACTAGTATACACAGAGAAATCTATGTGGAAGAAGTGTCAATATTTCAAGTATTTCAAACTCTAGGAGAGATGATGCTAACGGGGCCAGTCCTTGCTGGAGCTGCCTGTCAGGGCAGCAATGCAGGCATGGCCTGGGGCAGGGGAGCCTGTCTGGTCTGTGGACAATCAAGCAGTGCTCCGACTCCTCCTCCCAGTGAAACATGCACTTTCTTTCAGGCTGTTGCCAGCTGGTTTTGCTGTGTGGTAGTGTTAAGCTTTCCAGATTGAAAACATCTGGCTTTTCATCAGCTGTGTAGACTCAGAAAGAGCAACGTTAGCCGAAGTAAATTCAACAAATTCTTATCTGACACATTTGGTTGACCCTAATGCGATAAACTAGGGCAGTCTCCGAGGATGAGTTCTGTTTGCAACTGTGCACCTTTTCCTTCCATCGTTACCCTGCCTTTGGAAGAATCTTGATGTTAAAATTTGGAAGTATGCCTTTATTGAAGGCTTCAGATGCACTGTCAGTAGCGATTTGTGAAAGTCCAGAGAGTCATTTGCATAGAGGTCAAACACAGTGTTTCCTGCAGGAACTTCCTGAATGATGAAGTTTCAGAGCAATTTCATGTAACCAGATGTCAACAGGTTCCAAAAAGATGCTGGCTACCTGTTGCTGTTACAAGCAGGAGAGTTCTGTTGTTAACTAACTTCAGAGGAAATAGAGTAGATACTAAGAGTAGAAAACTGTGTAAATGTTTGTAAATATTAAGAGTAGAAAACTGTATGTATCAAGTAAACACATATTGAGAATCAATGACAGGTTGTGGTGATGTGACACTGTGGGTTGTATCTGCTTTTTGAAAGCATCCTTAATGTTTCCTTGCTCATTTCTTCTACAGCACTTTACATGGCTTGGAGGGGGAAATTCTGAGACTATCAATATTATCAGCCCTCTGAGTTTTTGCATCTGAATATGTTTCAGCTTACAAACTGGTCATTACACAGATAGATATTTTTGAACAGTGATTTACAAACCCAACTTTTGTTAACTGGATCATTGCTTCCCACTGAGTTAAGGCTTCAGAGCTGGCTGTTCAGTGTTTATAGTTGGTCTGGTGTTGTCATTGGTCTTTGCACTTTAGCTTGAAGTACCTCAAGAAGTTAATGACCTGTTAAAAGACAATCCTCTGCAGAATGCTGTCCTTAAAAGACATGGGTATAAGCCAGGAGTATTTATATTGTGTTAGCAGTAATGTTGCACAGGTATGGTGTGCCAGTTGCATATCAGCACAGCAGTCTATCAAGATGGTAGTCATTAGCCCCATGTGACGTTAAGGCTCAGAGAGGTAAAGTAGCTCACCTCAGGATACACAGCTAGTCCTAAGTACCTGTGTTCATTGCTCCTCTGGTGACCAAAAATATGAAGGAGCCTCAGTAATAATCTTGGATCACTTAGCCTAGCCGCTCTTCAGATTCTAAAGTGCTGAGAAGATGGGAAGGAAATAGCATCTGGAGTATCCAGAGCGGTATACCTTCAAGCGCTGAGCTATACACTCCTCCCCTTGCTAAGGATGCTTCAGCCCCCAGGGCTCTGCTTCTGTTCCACAGGTTCGTTCCCACTGGGTGTTGGGCCAGGGCCTTTGCCCTTGCTGTTTCTTTTCTTTGCAGTTCTGTTTTCCCATGATAGAGAGGTCCTTTTTGTCTTTTAGGACTCAGCTCCTTTCTCTTTAGAGAGCTGAAGCAGGCTG